TATAGCTTCTTTTGCTCAAGTGTTTTGTGATAATTTCTTCTGTTTTCTTCCCCAACATTAATTATGTACTGAATGTATATTTTGACTTGATAGAATGTTGAAGAAGTATCAGCATGATTCGCATATATTGCAACGTGTCTCCAAACATTTTTTCTGTGAAAATGTTTATTACGATGACTCAACAGACCAGCCAAAACCAAGGTGGCGCTTTCGGAATTCCTTTGAGGAAGATCTTGCTTCTGCTCATATGACATATGATGATGACTCTTACAATAAGAAAATCATTTCGGTGAAAACTGATCTGAGGAAGACCAATCTACAGCGCAGGCAAATTAATGTGAGTATGCAACTACTGCCTTCAAAGTTATTTAAAATATGAGTCAGAGAGTAGTACTGGAGAATGTCGGACATCTGTTATACAAGATTTTACTTATTAGAGTATGGACAAGATAACCAAATCTCGTACACATGACTAAAAGTACTAAAAAGTAACATTTAGTGAAAATTTGCTGTAATGATGGAAGCTGCCCACCCAAATAGCAGTGTAGTGTTCACTGGGGTTTTATACTGTCTAAACGAGGAAGGAGGAGAAGCTTAACAAGTCCCTGCTTGGAGATAAATTCCTTCCGCTCAGTCATTGCTTTGGATGTGTTCGGTAGGAAGTAAAATGTAAATATAAGTGGGTTTATTTCTTATTTTCTTGTGTTCTTTATGTAAATAAACAAAATATTATCCTTAAACCATTTGTATATAATCTAGATAAATACCGTGGGAGGTGGGGGTGTGGAGGTAGGGACACGACGTGGAGTGGTGAGGGTGAAATGAGGTGTGTTGGAACTTGGAGGTGAGAAAGAAACGATCAATGAAGAACGCCACTTATAGAACTTGTTTTCCTTACTTCTACTATGGATGTCATTTTTCTCATTTTCAAGGAACTTGTTTCCAAAAATTTTGATCAGCGGAACATGGAAAAATTAGAAAACATTTTCAAGGAACTTGTTTCCATACCTAACACACCCTTTGCCATAGCTGAATATGCAACTTTGTAAGTTATTTGTTAACTGGAGTCTTTGTTCATAAATGTAGATGAGTGCAGGAGCTGATGTTCTGGAGGCAATTGAAGACCCATTTGACTGCATATTTAGGTCTTCAGCAAGTGTCCAAGATATTCATCATCCTGACACATTTAGCTCACCGCCTAGAAGGCGTAACTATAACCAGAAAAGGTCTCAGCGTAGGCATAGATTGCGTCACAAGGAGAGCATGGATGTTTGAGCTTTCTTCAATTGACCAAGTAGCCCTCACAAATGCTCCTTGCATGTACCTGAAATTATTGCGAAAAGTAGAACTATGTGGGTGTCTTTCTTTGTTGCTGCTCTCTCCTTGATACGCGGAGTCTTGCATCATAGCTGAATGAGTCATGCATCAAATCTCTAGCTGGAATTGGTATTACCTCCAAGCTGCTTGTATATATTATGGCTCCATTTGCATTTCAGTTATTCAGGGATGATGTACAGATTTCAACATAAGCTAGTTATAGAGGGTTAACATAGGGGAAGTTAACTGTTCATCTCCATTTGAAATATTTGGATGAAATCAAATTTGAGTTCTGAATTCCCAGCATGTTTTAGTTAGAAGAAATAAATTTATGGTATAAACATTTGTACTTGTTACCAATGTTTTGGTAATTCCTTTTCAATTTCTGCAAAGTTTATCTTGTCCAAGGGTGTAATTGTAAGCAAAATTTTATATAGTAGTGAGCCAATTATAAGTTTAAGTTGTTATATAGTATAATGTTTAGTATTTTATGCAATGAATCAAATCAAGAGCAATAAAATTAGGAACGAGGTTATCTAGGAAAAGGTGGGAGTGACTTTTGTGGCGGATAAGATGAGAAAGAGAAACTGAGATGGTTTGAGCATGTACAAAGAAGGTGCATTGAGAAAAGTGATTAGACATGACATGGAAAATTTTTATATTATTGAAGACATGACTCTACATAAGGAGGAGTGAAGGTCGTATATTAGGGTTGAGAAATAGCAGGGGTGGAGAATTGTCTTGCCTTGCGAAGGTTTAGGCTTGTTAGTGCCTCCTATAGTACTTGCCGTACTCTTGTAGTTCTTAACCTATGTTGTTTATGTGTTTTCGATTATCACAGTATTTTTCATTCTATATCAAACCAAATCTGGTTAAAAATAATTCTCTTGTTTTTCTTCTTTCCGAAGAAATCTCCACCGCCTCAAGCTCGATCCTGTTCACTATTTTAAATCTACCTCCCCAGCTATTTCATTTCTAAGAGCCTCTCTTTATAACCCAAAATCCCTTTAAAAAATACAGACAAACAATCTAATGCAATTATCAATCTTCCCATCTGGGGTTAATAGAATCCCAAATTGCCCTATTGGAATTTTGAACCTTTTCAACATTTGTCTTCTTCTTCTTCTTATCGTTTCAACCCCAACAATTCAGGGTATGAGAGTACATCCTCTCTCCCTGAAACCAAACATTGGCGGAATTGATTCTAATTTTTCAGAACAGCAACAACACATTCCTAATTCCGCAATGAAGAAACTCCGGAGACTTCCTCACGTATTTAACTACTTTCTGGAATTGCCGTTCTGTTCTGATGCAGATGTGGTGGTGGAAGAGAAGGAAGGATTCTTCCGTTTCGTGGCAAGAATCGAACTAAAAGGAGCTGCGAATGGACAAGTGAGGGCACAGGCAGTAGAGATTCATCCTGGGGTAACAAAGATCGTTGTGAGAAAGGGAAATGGAGACGGTGATGAGGATGAACAATTGAAGGTGGATACATGGAGGTACAGGTTGCCTGCTTCGGCTACGCCCGAGCTGGCCACGGCGGTATTTGTGGATGCAGAGCTTATAGTGACGGTGCCCAAGGATGACCATGGCCGTGGAGAGTTTGATAATGGATCTAGAGGTGTTTGGAGAGACGTTGACCAACTTGTTCTCGTACAATAGTTTAACTTTTTCATATTTGATGTATCAATTAATCATGTATACGATATACCTAAACTTCAGCCATATAAAACTTCAAACATGGTATAAAGTTGCACTTTGTCAAATATAAAACTTCAAAGTATAAAGTTACACTTTATCGAGACTAACTTTGAACACCATATGTTGAAATAGTACATAAGCAAAACAACGAGTCCTTGTCAATTGTAACATACATATGTATGTTTACTTAAACAACAAGTATATAGCTCATCCGAATAATGAACAAACTTGGGCTCTTTCTGTTTGAGCACATGGTGATAATGTATAAGTGTACGAGTAGCAATGTACCAAATCATAATAACAAATCATTTTTTATGACAATGTCGTTCGGACTAGCTTGCACATTCCACTGTGTACTTGTTACCTCCCATCAATAAGGATAACTTTGCAATCAAAGTTCAGGCTGATTGGAATCATTCATTGTCTTTTGCTTCTGACTGAGATTTTGACCTTGTGAGGTACCAGAGTTAGCTGAAAAATCCAGAAATTAACTTCATGAAAACCATTGTCCAAAATTTGAAGGATTAAAAGAATCCTACATGACATTAGAAATATGTAGGGTATGAATTGCCACAAGATTTGATAATAATAGCAAGTTGAGCATTGAACCAGGATTCCAGAAATACGAAAGACACAACATATAGACAATCATCATTAGAAAATATGGTTGCACATCAAGCCCAACAAGAAGTATCACAAGAACAATAACAGCAATATCTATCTGCATATATCAGCCTAACAGATAGGCTCCAGTAAATCTGAGCAGTATTGCTAAAGGCAGAGAACCAATAACTAACGTTAGCTTCATTAACTTGTATTTTAACATACGTTTTAATGATGACACTAATCCTTAATGATCTGTGTCAAAAAAATGAGACATCCAAAATCTGGGTAAAGAAGGCATAATCAAGGAAGAATGACTTGTCTAAAGATAGATTTGAATCAAGGAAAAAGAGCACACGCTAACCACAAGAAAGAGCAGGACACTCGGACAAATTTGAATACCTTGATTGAAGGAGAAAATCCCTTGGGTTACCTTAAGAGCAAAACACTGAAAACCAGATAAGAAGATTTTGCAACTTCTCTTCTTCTCTGATCAATCTCAGTGACATTCCAAATCAGAGATTAATTGAAGATCAGCAAATTGATATCAATTCCATTCTGTCCAAGCAACGGTAAAGAAGCAGCCAAGCAATATAAAAGCAGATCATCATCACAGAAGTATTAAGCATTAGTTACTGTAATTATTAGTTACATTAACTAATATTGTTGTAGAGTATCAATAGAAGACTCCCCTTATTGTTTATCAGTTCAGGTAGTAGTTAGTTTCCTTAAGTTTAGCTGTAGGTTGTTCTTAATCTGTCGTATTTAATGTTTGGGTACTGAATGAATAAGATTATCTTTTGACTACTTTCTTTATCTGATTTTGTAAGAAGAAGATTGCGCAATTTCCCTTGACCAAAAACTCTAGTCACCTTTTAAAACTATGTTTTTAGATGTAAGGAACAAATTTTCTTAACTGATCTGGGAAAAAGTTGACTCCAAAGAGGAAACTCCAACGTCAGTTTGCAATCCGACTCCATCACCTGATATACTGCCACTTGTACTACTCTCCTTAGAACCGGACCATCAATTAATGATACTCGCTTCTTCAATTTCAACCAGGTACCATCAGCTGCTACTAATCCAGAGAATTCTCCAGTTTCTTCTCCGTCTTCCTGGCATCATACCACTTCACACACACAACCTGTTCCTACAGTGTTATTCATAGCAGTGCAGCACAATTGGCACATTCATTAACTCGATGTCAACAATGCTTTCCTACAGGGCCAGTTGACTAAAGAGGTTTTTTATGTAATAACATCAAGGCTTTGTTAATTTCCAGTTCCCTTATCATGTTTGCAGATTAGAAAAGGCAATTTTATGGTCTTAAACAAGCCCCGCGGGCTTGGTATACTGCATTGTGCAATCATCTACAGAAAATGGGATTTATCATGTCTGAATCTGATGCTTCTCTGTTTATTTTGAAGAATTTGGTTGCAAATGTTTATGTACTCGTCTATGTTGACGACATTTTGATCACGGGAAGTCATCCCAGCTTGATTAGACATGTTATTAATTCCTTGGGTTCTCGGTTTTCCATGAAGGATCTTAGTTACTTGGACTACTTTTTGGGTGTCGGAGTTAAAAAAGTGCCAGGTGGTCTTATTCTCTCTCAATCCAAATACATTCTTGACATTTTGTCTGAATTGGATATTCAAGATTGTAAAGGAGTTGTTAATCCAATGTGCTCTGGTAAACTACCTCGGGCAGTTGATCGTTCTCCGCCTGCTAATGCTACACTCTACAGGCGCACCCTTGGTAAGTTACAATATTTATCATTGTTGCACTACGCCCAACTTGAGCGGGTGTATTAAGTATTTAGTTACTGTAATTATTAGTTACCGTAACTAATACTGTTTTGGAGTATCAATAGAAGACTCCCCCTATTGTTTAGGAGTTCAGGTAGTTGGTTTCCTTAAGTTTAGATGTAGGTTGTTCTTATCTGTCGTATTTAAAGTTTGGGTACTGAATGAATAAGATTATCTTTCGACTACTTTTCTCTATCTGATTTTGTAAGAAGAAGATTGAGCAATTTCCCTCGACCAAAAACTCTAGTCACTCTTTTATTACTGTATTCAATATAGTTTACTAGTGAAAAGAAAAGATACGGAGAGATTAGAAAACAATAAGAGTAGAGGATGTGATCGACAAGTACATTGGAATCTTTCAGGCCAAGGAGTTCACAACAGGCTATCTGTCTAACCATAAATATTCAAGCTCTAAGGAAACCCTTGTAACCCAATGGGACTGGATTAGGCACCACATCGGTGATCCGAACTAGTATAAAAATCTTTGTGTCAACTGTCTTTTATCTCTTTATGCCTTATATAATATGTTGTTTTATCTAATCGTCTAAACTCTAGGGTAGTCGACTTGAAGAAATCAACAGTCGACCAATTATAACTTGACTAACATTCGAAAAGAATTTCGATTCACCTCCCCACCCCACACCATCCTCTTATGTTTTACATACTAATGTGGTGAGACAGATCATGGATGTGACATTCAATTCTATGCCATAGGGGCTAGGCAGAACTCTTTACGCCAGGAGATGTTATTGCTGCAATTGACCAAAACAGCACCCTACAAGAGATCCTTGAGTGATCCATTCCTTTATCTTTAGGCCGATTACACCAAGGTTCCAAACTCTTAATAAGGAAGCTATTCATTTCCTTCACTAGTTAGGACCAAGGAGCAGTTGGATAGCATTTAACTGATGCACTGGTTGTGCAACAAATAATTCCTCTTTCGTACCCTTTCCAAGGATCTCCAATTTTATTTTCTGGTCATATTGCAGTTTAGTTTGCACCAAGTGTTTTTGGTATTTGTGGACAACAGGAAGCACTGAAACAGATAAAACTTACAATGCAGATGTATATATTTGTATCACGAAATAGACAGTACTTAACAAAATAACCACATTTGCACATAAATATCTTGCTCAAATACAGATATTCAAGTCAAAGTGACAGGTCAACACAAACAAGACTATGACAAGGCAGAGAAGTTACCAGTGCTATCCACACAGCTTTCCTTTTTGAATGCATCTTGAATGCTGACTCCTTTCATAAGCTGATATGATTATCAAATTGGTCATTCTAGTAACTGTAAACCTCAAAATTGGAAAAAGGATAGCATCATAGGAAACAAAGTACCATTAATCAATTAGCTATACCTTTGCATTGATTGATTCAATACGATGCAACAACTCTTTTGCACTACTTTTTTGTGAGCCACGCAAAATACAAATGCCAACATTCAAAATCTTTTCGATGTCAGCATAAGAAGCAACGGATGTGCAAATGTTTAAAAGCTTCAAAGCATGTGGAACCAAATCCGTCCTTGAATCACAATATCGACAGAGATACTCTGCATCCAAATTGATGCTTCCTCCGACTGTCCCAGCCATGTAAGCTCGTAGAGCACACTCTAGATGGGAAACATGTCCACATATGTGGCCATCAACTACTGTAGCTTCACATCGGATGTAACTGTACCCATCATAGTCCAAAGTGATAAGCTTACTGCAAAGTATACAACAGCAGTCTCCGCAAAAACCAGGCTCACTGCAACAGAGATCACAAAATCTGGTGCCCGTCAAAGGATTTTCTGCTGTTAAACTGCTACAGATTCGGTTACCAGCCTTACAAGTAATGGCTCTGAAAGGAGAATCAGACAGTAAAGGCTGCATTTTTGTCCCTGAAGATGTAGTCCTCTCTTTCGTATCTGAGTCAAAACCAATATCTAAATAATGAAAAAAAAATTGGCATAAGGTTAGTAAACTACCAGTAGTGACGGAGCCCAGGATTTCAATTATGGGGATTAAAAAAAAAAGTCTTTATGCCAAGCAGATTCAACAACTTACAGATATGCAAAAAAAATCATTTTCACTATCTGTATGGAGTAATTTTTCAACGAAGCTCCGTACCTGACTACATGCACAGACTGTATAATCATGGACAAAATTCACTTCAAAAATAAAAAGATCCACCAAAAGGGAAGAAAAAAAATATAAATTTGTGTGGACTGACTAGATACTTGTAATGAATAGGAAACCAAGCTCAAATCACCATTTTCTTAAAAATCCAAATTCTTGAGAAAACTCAAAAAGTTTGACTTCAAAATTAGGAATTAAATAGCCTCTACTGATGGGGTAATAAAATCTTGAAGTAAACAGTGGGTAATAAAGATGGGGAATTAAAAATCGTTACCCAATTGAAGAATCTCGAAATGCCCCTTTAGAATTGCCTTTACCGAGCTTCCAAAGTTCAAAAATGGTGAAATGAGGATTAATCCCCGATTTTGGAAAGAAGAATCTATCCAAGTCACTTTTACCCTTCGCAATCGCAACCCGATACCTCACAATTGCGATGAGTAATGCTGGTCAACTCATTAATTGACCATCGCGATTGCAATACAAGGCCACGCGATAAAGATGCTCAAGATGCTATTGTGATTGCAACATCCTCCATGCGATCGTGAAGCACAAGACCACATACCAATGTGGCCGCGACCAAGAGCCTTGCGATCTCAAAGATTACTTAACATGCATCAGATACAACACATCAGCAAACACCAAGACTCAACAAAATCACCTAATGAACCCTCCGGATTCGTTTGGAATTTCGCACACACAAACCACATATGCTACCCAACAAAACTCGACATTCCAGACTCAATGGAACGTTGGAACACATCAGCAAACACCAAGACTCAACAAAATCACCTAATGAACCCTCCGGATTCGTTTGGAATTTCGCACACACAAAGCATATATGCTACCCAACAAAACTCGACATTCCAGACTCAATGGAACGTTGGAACACAGATACAAAGTCTCTTTGACCTAGTATCCGTTTAAGTCGCAATAAACTAACTTTTACTCAAAAACACTAAACTGCCCTCAGAACCTCTGAAAACTCAACCAAGACCTCACTTAGGAGTAAAATCATCCCCTGAATCCAATGGTGTCATCGGAATTCCAATCCTAGCGTTCAAACTCCGAATGTTGACCAAAGTCAACTCTTGGCCTAATTATACTTAAACTTCCAACTCAAGGGCTCATATCCACGAAAAGGACTCCATAATTGAAAAAACCTACACTTCTAGACAAAATTCCGCATTCTGGAGCTGATGGAACATACTAAAGACCCTTTCGAGACTCGTAGTTCTGATTGTTGTCAAAAACCACTTTTAACAACTTGAGGTGTCCAAAACTCTAAAACTTCCAAAAGTCTCAACTTTCCAATTCAATTTTAAAACCAACTTCATAAACTAAAAAGCATGATTTGGGAAAACTATCGAGAGGGACAAAATGATAATTTTTCCAAAAGTGTAACACCCCGTATCTGAAAGAGGAAAGCTTAACAGATTTCAAAACTCCCAGGTGCCATCCACGAGGGCAAGCCCGGCCCTGGTGTGGGCCAAGTACTGTAGGTGGGTCCATGGATGGGTGCCTTAGGAATTGTCCAGGCATGGATCACGGTTGGACCTACGGACCGTAGGTGGGTCCACGACCCATGGTCCAAGAATCGTAGGTCAAGACAAAAGTCCCTGACCACCAACCACGGTTCACCAGGACGGACCATAGGTCCATCCATTGTCTGTTGACTGGGTTCTCGGTTGGTAGGTCGGTGACAGCTGACAGTTAACTCAGGGGCAGTTCAGTCTTTTCCTAATTAATTAGTTCCTATACTATGTCGTTTTGCCTATATTTAGAACCCCTATATAAGTCTTTTTACCCCCAAATTCATCCCATTTCAGTCAATCTTCCAAATTCCCAAAAGAAAAACCAACTCCTCCCAAATATTCTCTCTCTAGAACTTGAAGAAGAAGATTTCACCTAGGGTTTCAAGATAAGGATCCAAATTCTCTATTGAAGATAAGAAATTGGACTTGAGGTATGGTAGTTTTCATCCATGAATCTCTTTCATTCATAAAGTCCCCAAATTCCCCTATTTCAAATGGTAGAATTCCCCAATTAGCTAGGGTTTTCTTCAATCACCATTGGTTCTTTTGATTATTGATCTTAATGATTTGATTATTTTTAAATATGCATGAATTGATGATTTAGAATGCTTTTATGATGTTTCACCTTTGAACCCATGCAAACCCCTATGTTTTCCAAATTGTGATCTCAAAATGTGGGTTGTTGATTATGAAAGAGGAGTTTTATGATCTAAAGCATGAAGTAATAGAATTACATGAATTTATGATAAAATCCCTATCTAATGTTTGAATTTTAGATTTGGTGATTGAAAACAAACTTTGAACCTTGAAAGGGAATAGTATGAGTTTATGCATGATCTTATGGAAACTATGTAAATGTTGTAAGGGTGCTTTGAGAGTGAAGTGCCAATGTTGTTGTTGTTGTTGTGTTGTTGAAAGGTTACTCTCATAAAACACTTGCAACCATGATGTGAAAGGTTTTCTCACATAGAAAGGATTCTTAGGTTGAAAGGCTATTCTCACCTAATCGAATCAATGGATAAGAGCTATCCTAATTAACTAGCTTGAATTGACAAGATGACATGTCTTTCCATGGATAATGAGAATAAGTAAGAAAATAATATTCCATGGGAATTATGCTTAGCACCGTGTGGATATTGACATTGATATAGAAGCTCTCCGTTAGTAGGGCTGGGTTTCTAGAAGAAGTCTCATGAGATGGAAGCTCTCCCATTAGTAGAGGTCGGGTTTCTAGTAACAATCTCCTTATCCCATAAACTATGTGCCCTCATAGGATGATTAGCTATGAATCCATTTAAGCTAGAAGTTCATGGTTCTACCTTAGGCAAGTAGAACAACCTTCTCGGTGTGGGAGAACCGGGTGATCATGTTTTAGCTCACATGGTCTCTATGTCGGTTAAGGCTAATTTTCCCACAACAAGATGATTAATGAACTAAGGTTACTTAAAGAAGTATTTCATATGTGTTCAAAGGCTTAAAAAAATGATTTAGCTTGCATTGACCATGATGTTATGACTTATGTTTTCTAACCCTCTTATATCATGTTTTAATTGGTCAATTGCATGTCATGAAATGAAATGTCCTTCTTAGCATGTTTTAAATGTTTTTATGCATAACTATCATATTTGTGCATTTTTGTACTAATGCATACTCTTGCCTACATTTTTCTCAAATGTAGGGTCCGTCAGGCAGGGTTCCTATTTTAGTGGCTAGAGCTTGGACTTTGATTCTTTCCGAGCTTGGTGAGTCCTCATGGTTCGAGGACGGACTTTCCTTATTCTAGTTTCTCTTCGTATTTTCTTTTTTGAATATGATATATGGGCTAGGCCCACTCTCATTCGATTGTAATATAAACTATGTTGAGACATCAGTTAGACTTCCGCTTTTTCTATAAAATGTTTTGGACTTAAATGTTGTTTTGCTCTTTATTGTTTTATTACTTTATGTTATGATATGATAAGTGGCTTGTATGAGTCCTTCAGGGTTTATACGCCATGTTACATCTAGGGGGTACCCCTGGGTCGTGACAAAAAGTTTTAAAAAATGACCTGCAGGGTCATTACACAAGGTTGTGATGGTTCAGACACATACAGAGAAGATGCACATATGATTTAGTGCAGAAGTGTGAGAGGTTGGCTATGAATGGTTTCAAGA